CTCCTCCTCCTCCTCCTCCTCCTCCTCCTCCTCCTCCTCCTCCTCCTCCTCTCCACCTCTGGGTGCCAGGATAACACCTCCGGCAGTTTCATTTGCGGCCGCGGAGTGCACAACCCATGCCTAAAAATCACCACCCACCAAACCACCCCAACCCGACCCGGAGGCCTCAAGTTGCCCTCCATTCCCAGCGGTGGGGGGTCGGGAAACATGGGGCAAACCAGATATGAAGCCCGCACCCCCTCCCTAGCCCGAAATTCGGGTCTTCCGGTTTGGTTGGGGTTGCCTGGTTTGCAGCCAAAAGACACACGAGCGAGTTGTGAGAGCTACGGCCGCAGAGAGCACACAGACTATGCCGAGACCGCTGCAACAATTTTTATGTGCGGCCGCCGAGTGCGCAGCGTGTGGCGCAACCTATAGCAGGCCCATGTCTGCTCGGTCGCCGAGGGCGCACCCCGCAGCAGGCCGTTGTATGTTCGGCCGCGGGGCGTGCAACCCATGGCGCACTCTATGGTGCACCCCATGTATGGCGCAGCCCTTGACGCCACCTGCGGCGCGAGCCCTTGGGCGCAACCCACGGATTGCGCGACCCTTGGCGCAACCCATGGAGGGCGCAACCCACGGCGCAACCCACGGGTGGCGCGCCCCAGGGCACACTTCCGTTTGCTCTGGGGGTGGTGCCCGAGCGTCGAGTTGTCTCGTTTCTACACTCTTGGTTTCGAAAGGGGCTGTGAGGGTTCTCGGGCTGCTTTGGGCGATATGTCGAGAAGGTCCCGTGAGGCCATCCTGGGCTTGTCGCTGGTCGTCTTGGGCCCGTCTCTGGGGGTGGTCTGGGGCTGCCTCGAGATGGGCTGGGGGCTTCTGCAGAAGCCTCCAGGCCATCTCGAGGCAGCCCTCTGGTCTCCATGGAGACCAGAGGGTTTCATACAATTTGGCTTCTGGAGTCTGGCTTGGCTTGGGGGATCTCCTGGCGGCCGAGGGTCTCCCAAAGCCCCTTCGTTGAACAAATTGTCATGCCGCTCTGCGAAGCCCGTCAGAATAACACCTGAGGGATAATGAAGTTCGAGGTCTCGGGGGGATGATGAACGATTTGCCCTGGCAAGTCGTACGTGGGATATATGACAAGGAAAGAAGAGGTCGTCCTCGTCGCACGAAGACGACGACGACCACGACGACGACGACGACGACGACGACGACGACGACCCAGCCCTGCCACACGTTCGTGACTTCGGAGGAAATCACAAGGAGAGGATCGATAATCTTCTACTACCCTGCCACACTTGGGATGATGATGTTGCTACTCAAGATAAGAAGACAGCAACTTTGATTCGTAACCTTCACTCGTGATAACAAACTTCGGCCTTGCCGCCCCTCTCTCCCGATCAACTCTGTCGTGGCCGGGGAGAATCAACCCTCAGGGATGAATGGGGGTATGATTTATTATCTGGGGTTCGTGATGATGCTACTTGGCGAAGCACGACTACGCTAGGTTCGCGTGACCCCGCCGCCAGCGTTCGATGTTAAACGCCGCCAGCGACCCAGAATCGGTCGATGTTGAACGACCTGACGTTTCGGAAACGGCGGATCGTTCAAGGTTGAACGATCCCCGCGGTGTGAGGAACCAACGCCGGCGCCGACACGACACGAACCCGCGGTACCGTCAAAAACCCTAATAAGGACGCGCGCCTTTGCTCAGGGTACCCTTGCGTCCTTGCTCTTCCTTGCTCTTGCGTCCTTGAGGTTTTCGTCGTCCGCCGCCCCAGAAATCTTCACTTCGGCTTCCAAGGGTCTTGCGTCCTTACCGCGCGTCCTTATTAGGGTTTTTGACTGTACACGGTCGTCTGCTGGGGATCGCTCGCAACGGGCAGCGCGCTGCGGGCAGCTGCGGCAAGAGGGACGCTTCGCTTCGCACGCCCACGGCGCTGCGCGCGCCCGGGCGGGTCTCTACAACGACTGCGGGGGCAACTCGTCCACCTTCCCGCAGCCGACGATCTGGGACTCCCTGAGGTTCAGAGGAGGAAAAAGGGTACCAACACCGCTGCCCTTTGGCAGTTTTCCCCTGCTCTGGGCTCCTGGGAGGTCCTCGTCGCCACCGCTGGGTTCGCCGCGGGAACCTCGTCAGGACGCAGCCCGGAACAGGTCCGAGCAGCAGCGGCGTCGGTACATGTGGGCTCCCCCAGAGGCTGCACGGCGTCGGCTTCGGCCTGTACATGAACAGCACGTGCGGCCTCGACGGCAAGCCCTGCCACGGAGAGGACCCGCACGACCCGGACTCGGGGTCCGTCGCCGCCCACCAAGCCGCCCCAGCCCGACCCGAAGGCCCCGAGTTGCCCTCCATCTCCAGTGGGGGGGGGGTCGGGGGACATGGAAGGAAACAAGGGCGCCCTCGAGGGCGCGAAGCTATTCGCGCTTCGCGGTTCGGCTCCGATTCCTCCTCTTCCTCCTCTTCTCCCCTTGGAGGCGGCGCGAGAGCGCGGAGGTATTCGCGCGGCGCGCGGCGCGAAGCGCGAGGCTGGGAGCTGGCAAGCATCCACGTGTGGAGGCCGTCATCACGCCCCCCGAAGCCCGAAGTGCGGGTCTTCGGGTCAGGCTAGGGGTGGTCTGGCAGGTCGAAAGATCCGCCGCCCCTCGCCGAAGAGAAACGCCAGCACGGGCCTAAGCTTTCGGAGCCCCGCGCGGCGTTCTCGGGCGTGCGCCGCGCCCCCCCCCCCCCCCCCTCGCGGCGGCCTCTGGCGCGCTCCGCGCGCCAGGAGGGGGGAGGGTGCGGGTCCAGCGCGCGGCCAGGAAGTCCGCTTCCGCGCCGCGCGAAATGTTTATTATACCTCCTCCTCCGCCTCCTCGCTCCTCCTCCTCCTCCTCCTCCTCCTCCTCCCTCCTCCCTCCTCTCCTCCCCCTCCTCCTCCTCCTCCTCCTCCCCTCTCCTCCTCCTTCTCCCTCCTCCTCCGCCTGCGCCTCCTCCTCTTCCTGCGCCTCCGCCGCCTCCGCCTCCTCCTCCTCCTCCTCCTCCTCCTCCTCAGGAATAGCCACCCGCACCCCGACAATTGGCGTTTACTGAACAGCCTTGGGCGTTTACTAAGCAGCCCTGCCCTCTTCGATTCCTTCCCCTAGGTGCGTTTACTAAACGGCTTCGCTTGTCGGGTTGCTTATCATGGGGGTGGATTGTCTGCCATCTATATTATATGCAGTTTTCTTATTCAGGTCCGCCATCTCCACGCCCGACGTCGCCATGGCGGGCGTCGCGCGGCACCAGGACCGCTTCTTCAGCCAGACGGTCTTCTACGAGCAGGCGGCCAACGGCAGCCTCCCGGCGGTCTCGTGGATTCTCCCGCCGATGCAGGCGCGCGCGGCGGGGGGCTAACGTTAAGTCGGCCATGGTAGAAATAATAGTGTGGGAACGATTTTTCGACTAGTAATTTATGTGTTGACAGTGTTTCATTCTTCTTCCAAAATCCGCTTGTAGGAGGACATGTCCGACCTAAGGCTAACCCCGGGCCGCCCTGCGGGGCTTGGAAGGGGCCACCGCGTGGGAGATCTGGAACCATCTGTCCGAGGCGGGGATTCTCAGAGGAGGAACAGGTACCCATACCGCCACCATTGCATCGGTTTCCCCTTTTTTCCGGATTCCTGGGAGGTCCTCGCCGCCACCGCTGCCTTCGCCTCGAGATTCTGCCCAGAACGCACCCGGGAGAGGTCCGGGGAGCAGCGGCATCCGAGCTGCAGAGTTTACGTCCACCACGAGGCCGCCGGTCGGAGAAGTACGCCCGTGGCCACACAGCTCACCTCCTCCTCCTCGTCCTCCTCCTCCTCCTCGTCCTCCTCTTCCTCCTCCTCCTCGTCCTCTTCCTCCTCCTCCTCCTCCTCCTCCTCCTCCTCCTCCTCCTCCTCCTCTTCCTCCTCCTCCTTCTTTTCCTACTTCTTTCAGCTGCTCTCCTTCTACATTGCCTCCTGCTCTTACGGCACCGTGCCGTGAGTAGGCGGCGCCAGGGGGTAGTCCGTCGCGCGCCCGCGTGCGCGGCGGGAGACCTTCCTGAGGCGCTGCGCTCCTCCTCCTCCTCCTCTTCCTCCTCCTCCTCCTCCGCCTCCTCCTCCTGCTCCGACGCCTTCTCCTCCACCTGGCGTCGTCTTCCTCCTCCCCCCCCACCCTGGCCATCGGAGGGCCGGCCGGTCAAGCTGCTCCAGGGTGGCCACGCCCGCCACGTGGACGCCACCGCCTTTGTGCCCCTCCTCCGCTTGCCCGCCCGCCGCGCCGGCCCTGGCCTCCCGCCGGAGCGCTCGTCGCCGTCGCCACCGCTGGATTCGCCTCGAATTTTTATTCAGAACGCACCCGGGAGAGGTCCGGGGAGCAGCGGCATCGGCACCTCCTGGTTTCCTCGGATTCGGGCGCCACCCCGCCTTTGTGCCCCTCCTCCGCTTGCCCGCCCGCCGCGCCGGTCCTGGCCTCCCGCCGGAGCGCTCGTCGCCGTCGCCGCCGCTGGATTCGCCTCGAACTTTTGTTCAGAACGCGCCCGGGAGTGGTCCGGGGAGCAGCGGCATCGGTACCTCCTGGTTTCCTCGGACTCGGGCGCCACCGCCTCTGTGCCCCTCCTCCGCTTGCCCGGTCCGTAACCATTTTGGCTCAAGTTCGAAACCTTGCCGCGAGGCTTCGAGCTTGTCCGCAGCCGTGCGGCAGGCTCTGACGATTTCGGCGCGTGTGCCGCCCACACCTTGCGCGGGGCGCGCCATGGGATATCTCGTCTGTCTCGTCTGTCGCGATGCTGGCAAGACTTCGTGGATCCCCGACACCAACCCCCGCCAGAAGTGTAAGTTTTGCAGTACTCCCTTTCCTGGCCGCTCCAGAGGACAGGTCCAAGGAAAGAAGGGAAGGGGCAAAGGCAGCCGCAATGAGCCTGTCGTGTCCCCTCCCCGTGCTCGGTTCCATGATCGTCATGATGTTGATGGTTCTGCCACTCCCCCAGTTCGGTCTTTGGATGAACGTCTTCAGGCGCCATTGGATGATGAAGTGCAGGATAGGTTTGGATCTGACTCTGGCGACGACGGTATTGGCAGCGATCGTGGTTTCTGGGCTGACTATGTCGATGACGACGTTGATGGCGGCTGTGTCGACACCAATGGCAATGAGCTCTCGGTTGCGCAGATTGACCAGATGATCAAGGCCCTGTTGGGCCAGCTGGATTCCCTCCGCCTGCTTCCGCCGACCAGGTATGTTCTCGATCAGGTTTCGAGTCTCCAGGACGAGTTGCAGCATCTCCGAGCACAAAAGTCCGACATGCTTACCGTCCCCCAGAAGCGTGCGTTCTACAAGCAGCGTCATCACTGGGCCAGTGAGAAGTTTGACAAGATCTCTAGCCAGATCCGTGAGCTCGATCGTAAAATCCTGGACCTTCAGAGCGAAAGGGACGCCCTCTGCTCTCGTCAGGAGCGGGTTGCTCAGGATATGGCTATGTGGCAGGCTAAGTTGCAGGATCTCCCGTCGAGTGAGCCAGGTCCTGAGGGTTTCGCGCCCCCAGATCTCTCTGCCGTGGCGGACGTACTCGCAGCTTCCCAGGCAGTGCAGAGAGACAAGAAGCTTGCTCAGGCGTTGCGTGACCTCCAGGGTATCGTTATGTCTGGCTATGCTCCTGTTGGTAGTGCCAGAGAGCCTCGGTCTCAGTCTGAGGAACCCAGGAAGTCTGTCGACCAGCAAGGTTCCCCAACACGCGTTGCCAGGGCTCCTCCCCGTACCTCTTCCTCACTGCCGCCTGCGCCGAAACGTCCTGCTCATGCCCCTGATGTTGCAGTTGATCAGCCGGGACAGTCAGGAAGGTTTTCGCCGTCGGCTGCCGCCACCGCTGGCCCCGCCGACACCCCAGCTGTGGTGGAGGGCTCCAACCCCATGGGCCCGTCTGACCTACATCGCAGACCCCGCCCGACAAGTCAGCCTTCGGACAGAAGTCGCGTCGGGACTGGGCCATCGTTTCTGTGAACGTTACCTCCTGGTCTAATGCCGATATTTTCCTGGAGGTTTATTCTGATCGGTTTGATGCTGTTGGTTTTCAAGAACTCTGTCGTGCAGAAGAGGCTATTGAGTTCGCAGTCAACCGTGCTCACAAGCATGGGTTCCATGCTCACCTACACCCCTCAGTTAGTACTCAGAAAGGCGGATTGAGTTCAGGAGCGGGCCTTGTCTCGCATTATGCCAGGTCCTTCTCTGAACTTGCACTGGATCCGATTGTTGCCATGCCCCCTCCAGAGAGATTTATCTTGAAGCTATGGCATGGGGTCGTGGATTCAGGTATCCCTTGGGCCAATGTATATTTGCATACGGGGGAAGGCGCCGAGGATCGAAATGCCCAGCTACTGATGCAGGTGGCAGCAGTCATGAAGACCATACCCACCCCCTTTGTCATATCAGGGGACTGGAACATGTCCCCCAAGGACTTGCAGAATACGGACTTCTTAACGCTCGTAGGTGGGGCCACTGTCGTGCCAGATCGCCATGCCTATGAGTCTGCGGGTGCCCAGTCGTTGATTGACTACTTTGTGGTTCACCCCTTGCTCTCGGCAGCAGTTAAGTGTGAGGTCTGGGAGACCCCCCTGATCCCCAAGCACCAGCCTGTCGCTCTTACCCTTCGTGGAAATCTCCACTCAGATTTGGCATCCGTTTTTCGGCGGCCGCCACATACCCCTATTATCCGTCCAGTGGGGTGTTCAAACTGCCCGCCTTCCTGGGATGCCTTTCCTGATCCTGACGCAGTCAACTCTGTGGGAGATTCGGAACGCCTTACCTCTTCTTGGCTGAAGACGTCTGCTCAGGAGTTGCTTGCCCTTTTCCAGTTGCCAGATCCGCAGGATTACACCAAGTGGGGTGAGCCTTCCTCGACCATCCAGATCTCGGTTTCCAGACTGTTTCCTGGTGGTGTGCTTTCGTCATACGAAGGAAGGCTTTGGAGGTATCTCTCTAACCGTCTTGGTACTCTTCTATATCTTGCTGACAAGCAGCTGTGGCCCGCATATCGGAGAGCCTGCAAAGCCCTGCGCCGATATCGTCCTTCGCAGCGTGATGGTGGTCCTCCCCCCGATTGGTCGTGGTGGAGGTATTATGCCAACAGGCTTGATACCCTAGATCTGGGTTCCATAGACTGGCTGCGGGGCGTCTTGGGTGAGTCTGCATCTGCTCTGGAACGTGCAGCATCGGCGCAGAGGTACCAATCCTGGACATCATGGGCCATTCGTTCGGTCCAGGAAGGGGGTTCTGCTGCGCACCGATTCGTCAAGGGATCTATGGATTGGGCTTCCTTTGACAAGACCACCCCGAACCCAGATGCCCCAGTCGGCACGCCGCAGCATCATCTCAAGGCGCGAGAAGTAGTTTGGCATGCTATCGGGGAGCCCATGCAGGAGCACCCTGACGATCCTTGCCGAGCCCTGGATTTTCCGCCGTTGCCGCCCGACTGCCTTGCATCCTTGCCTCACCCGTCCCTGGACAAGTACAGACAGATGTGTCGCAAGTACAAAGCTCGTACGTCGGTGGGATTGGACTTTATGCATCCACGTCACCATGCGCTGCTCTCCGACTCGTCTCTCCTTGCCCTGTTTGGTATCTGGCGTGTTGTTCTGCGATTGGGTAGATTTCCTCCCATTCTCGCTGTTTCCATCATGAATCTGATCCCGAAGCCTGATGGTGGCGAGCGTACGGTTGCCCTATTCACGACGTGTGTGCGCACGTTCTCTCGGTTCTTCAGGCACGCGCATGGTGCTATGTGGGCGCGATTGCATCCTCGCCCGTACGTGTACGGTGTGCGCGGTCATTCCTGCCAGGCATGTGTGTGGCGCATGGGCGTGCCCACGGGGTTAGCATCTGCCAAAGGTTTGTCTGTGTTTGCACTTTTGCTCGACATCCAGAAGGCATTTGAGCAGGTTCGCCACAAACTTCTCATAAGACGTGCTAGTGAGTTTGGTTTTCGTCCAGCACTCTTGAGGGTTTTCCTGTCTCTGCATCGTTCCCCACGCGTTGTCACGTTGCGGCGAATTGTTGGGGAGTGGGTCAGAGCTAGCAAGACTATTGTAGCAGGTTGCTTTTTGCTGGCCTGTGTATGCGTATTTTATTGATGCCCGAGTTGGACTCGTTTCGTCAGTCTTATCCAAATATGCACCTCGGCCTCGTCGCCGACGACGTCCAGGTCCTGGGGATAGGCTCGGAGAGGGAGTAGCTCAAAATCGGTCCCGATGCGTCGCACCTTTTGATGAGCAAGCTTACCTTCTCGGCATGTTTACCGCTCTCCGAAAAGAAAATCGTGTTCTTGGCTACCGACCCCCAGTTGGCTCAGAGCATTGCAGCTGAAACCCCTCGTCTCGCTG